TTTGCAAAGTCTACAATTCATGTAGGTAGTTGCTTGAGGGTTCTCTGGTTAGTCATTGGACAATGTGCTAGTCAGTCGTTTTTCAGTCACATCCAATTCTTTGTGACTCATTTGAAGTTTTTTTGGCAAAAATAATGGAGTTGTTTGCCCTTCTCTCTCCAACTAATTTTTCAATGAGAAAAACAAGGCAAACAGGCTTAAGTGACTTGCCCAGGGACACACAACTAGTAAGTATCTGAGGCTGGATTTGAATGCAGGAAGATGAGTCTTCTTGACTCAGGCCTAGCACTCTACCCACTGAGCCACGTAGCTGCCCTTCTTTCTCTCTCTAGAAATAAAGGCCAATTGGCTTTATGGTTCATAATTTCAGAACCTGAGATTGAATCCTAGATTTTCTCTTACTGGCTGTGACCTTAAGCAATCCATTTAATCTCTCTTGCACTCAGCTTCCTTACCTGTAAAATGAGGGTATAGGACTACATGTGACCTCTAACCCTAGAACTATCATCCTATGATCTCTCTCCCTATCCTTCCCTTTTCCTTTCTCTAACTAGAGAACTAGAACAAGATGTGTCCTAGAATGTTCATTTGGAAAGCCCTCATTGAAAATTTAAATATGTGGGTGAGGCTGACCAATTCATTCCAAAGCTTTCAACTCTTCACTTAAGACCTCACTTAAAACTGTCAAAATAGTGTGTCTCTTTATCTTGCATAAATTGTTTGATGAAGAAAGCAGCCACCTATTCGATATAATGCAGTTCCCTTTTTAACCAACATGTTTCAGGGGCAGTGGGTTATGCAGCAAAACTATTTTGTCATCGAGCATAAAGTCTGACAAAATTTGTGTTATTTTGATTTGATAAAAATCCAAGTCAGAGGCAGTTTAGAATTCTGAGTGATGTGATTTTTGAAGAAGCCACTCTTCATGTCAAGGGACTTAAGAGGGGGTGCAAGGTATGCACAGGTGATGGTGATCATTTGTGGAAGAAGAGCATTGACATCTAGGGCATTAGGAAAGGCTTCCAGGAGTAGGTAGCCTAAGAGCCGAACCATGAAGGAAGCTAAGATATTCTAAGAGGAGTTGAGGAGGGAGTGTGTATTCCAGGAGGGGGATCCAGCCTATGCAAAGGCACATTGGTAGGAGATGCAGGGCCAAGTTCACGTTGTGGTAGCAGTAATTAGAATGGGCTGGTGGTAACATAGAGTGTAGGAAAGTCAGTAGCATATAATAAGCCCCAGGTGGAGCCAGATTGTGGAGGGCTTTAAATACTGAGCTGAGGAATTTGCCTTTTGTCCTAAAGTCAGTAGAGAGCCAATGAAGTTTCTTGACCAAGGGAGTGCCATAGATTTGCCCCTTAGGAAATTTATTTTGGTGACTTTGTATAGGATAGATCAAAGAATGGAGAAACTAGAAGTCAAGAATCCCTCTCGTCCAACTTTATGTGAATTCCCTGAATCCCCAGGGCTACCAATGGCAATGTCTGTTACTATTGACCCACTATCTACAACGCTATCAGGCCATGGGATATATTGTAATTTGTAGGTTTACTTAGGATTCCTGCCTCAGGTATTTGAGAAAGTACTTGAGGTAGGACTGTGTAATGCAGATTTCCCAGAGCTGCTGAAACCTTTACAGACTAGTGACTTAAAACAAACAATCGCTCAGTGTAATGTACCCTTCTTGAGTTTGGGGACTGCTTGTTCTGTGATTGAGAATCGCCAGCATTTTGTTGGTGTTTGGTCGTTTCAGTTATGTCCAACTCTGCTTGACCCCATCTGGGTTTTCTCAGCAAAGATACTAGTCATTTGCCATTTCCTTTTCCAGCTCATTTTACAGATGAGAAAACTGAGGCAACAGGTTTAAATGACTTGCCCAGGATCACACAGCTAGTAAGTGTCTTGTGACCCAGATCTGAAGTCAGGAAGATGAGTCTTCTCTGACTCCAGGCCCTGCACTGTATCCATCCTACCACCTAGCTGCCCCAGCCAGCATTTAGCACAATGCTATGTAACTATAATAGCCAAGCTTGGCCACAGGGAGAAGTTGATAAAAATGTATCCCCTTTCTTTCTTTGCAGACATAGAGGACAGCCCATATTCCGCTAGACACAGTCAATGAGGTAGCTGCTTTGGCTCAGTCACCTATTTGCTCTTTCTTTTTCCATCTTGCTACTAGGGATTGGATGGGCAGGGTAGAGAGGAATGTATTCATCAAGCATTTATTAAGTGTCTACCATCTGGGCTCCAGTGGAGAAAGTGAGGCTGGTGACTTTACACAGCCCTCCCTCACTTAAATCCAATTCACTCCTGTGTCATAGCATCACCTCCTTGATGTGATGGTCTTCTTTGAGAGTGAAGGACAAACAAGTGTCTACTCTGCCTAATGTAGAACGTGGGGCTTTAGCCGAGCCTTGAAGGAAGTGTGGGAAGACCAGAGACATAGATGAAGAAAGAGAGAGTTCCAAGAATGGAGGAGAGACAGAGAATATGCCCAGAGTTAAGATATGGATTATAGCATATTCACACATATGAGCTTTTAGTAATAATACCAAAGCAATATAATCAACTTTCCTCTTATACTACTGTACAACTATAGCCTAATGCTAGCCATTGGTTAATTTTGTCTGAATCACTGAGAATCCTGATGTAAAGTAGACCCAAAGCCCAGTGGTTTTGCTGGATACATATACGTTATAAAGAATCTAGGAAGTGGAAGAAAAAGATATTTCCCCCCAGCTGTAGTTGTTGCAGGGTTTTTTTAATCATTGTTTTAGTTTTTAAAATTTTTTAACATTTTATTTTATTCTGAACTTAAGAAGTAAAAAAGCATTTCTGTAACATATTAGAATAGAGAAAAAGATGATTGCACGTGAAATTGCAAAAATTGTACATGAAACTACTATGTTCAACTTGCTATTCCTTTTAAATATATAATAGTTATCATGTAACTTTCTTTTTTTCCCTTTTTTCTTCCCTCCCCCCAGCCATTAGAGACAAATGTGTATGCATGTGTGTGTAGAGATATATAGATACACACACACACATATATATATATATACATATATATATGTATACACATATACACACATATATATTCATACACACATGTAAAATTGTTGTATACGTACTTATATTTATTAGTTCTTTCTCTGGATACAGATAGCATCTTCCTTCATATGTCCTTTGTAGTTAATTTTGGTACTTATAATAGTCAAAATGACTTAGTCACTCCAAGGTGTTCTTAAAACAATATTACTGTCACTGCATTCAAAGTTCTTTTAGTTCTGCTCATTTCTCTCTTCACTATTTCATGCAAGTCTTTCCATATTTTTCCAAGATCATCAAGCTCATCATTTTTTATAGCACAGTACTATTCCATCACGATCATATACTACTTGTTCAGTCATCCCCCAACTGATGGGCAGCCCCACAATTTCCAGTTCTTTGCCACCACAAAGAGAGCTGCTATCAATATGTAAGAGCATATAGGTTCTTTTCCTTTTTCCCTAATCACCTTAGAAAACAGACCTAGTGGTCTATTTAAATTTGCATTTCTCTAATCAATAATGATTTAGAGAATTTTTATATAATGATAAATTGTTCTGATTTCTTCACTGGAAAATTGCCTGTTCATATCCTTTGATCATTTATCAATTGGGCAATGACTCATGTTCTTATAGATTTGCAAACTTATACACATACATATATATTTATCTAAGAAACTGTCTAAATTTGTTCTCCAATTTTCTGCTCTCCTTCTGATCTTGGCTTTATTTAATTTGACATAATTGAAATTATTCATTTTATACCCCATACCACTCTATCTCTTGTCTATTCACAAATTGTTCACCTGTGCATAAATCGCATAGGTTAATGTTCCATGTTCTTCCAATTTTCTTGTAATCTCTCTCTTTATATCCAGGTCATGTATGTATTTTGGTCTTATCTTGGTAAATGGTATCCCAATTTCTTCCAGACTGCTTTCCAGTTTTCCCAACAATTTTACCAAATAATGAATTCTTATCCCCAAGATTTAAGTCTTGTCTTACGCAAGTCAAATACAAGGTTACTATATGTATTTGCTGCTGTAATGTGTATGTCTGCTCTGTTCCACTGATCTGCCTTTCTATTTCTTACCTAGTACCAGATAGTTTTGATAATTGCTGGTTTATAATATAGTTTAAGATCTGTACTGTTAAGGCTCCTTCATTTACAGTTTTCATTAGTTCTTTTAGTTTTGTTTTTTTTTTAAATTTTTGTCCTTCCAAGTGAATTGTTATTTTTTTCCCTAATTCAGTAAGATAATTTTGGCAGCTTAATTGGGATGGCATTGAATATGTAAATTAGTTTATATAAAATTGTCATTTTTATTATATTGGCTCTGCCTACCCATGAACAATTAATATTTCTCCAATTATTTAAATCTGATTTTATTTGTATAAAATGTTCTTTTAATGATTTCATTCATATAGTTCTAGGTTCTAGCTTTAATTTTATCTTTTCTCCTCTGACCCTGTCAATTCACCTATATAAAAGATAAAAACGGGATTTGGAGCTAGGAATCTTGGGGACCAAAGAGAGTTTCTCTGGGAAGGCAGTTGTTAAGAGGGAAGATTGATTAGGATTTGTTATAATCTAGACTTAATTTTCATTACACTGTGAAAAGTTCATAAACTAAACCATCCTTGTGAAATTTGGGGGTGCATTCAATCAGGGCCCACCTTCAGGTTCTTCCTATTGTTCTTGATTTTGATATCAATAATTTCATCAGAAACACATACTTTTGCAAAGCTAGGTAAACCTACCCACTGGCCTGAGCTTGGTCATGTAGCTAGAAATTTCAGGTGGTATGACCCAAGTGGCTTACAAAGTCCATGAGTGCTAGCTACTGGTGGCGGGAAGATTGTTTGCTAGAAATCTCAAGCATGCCACCCCCTTGGCTGGCAGCCAGTGGAGTTAAGGAGTACAGTTTATGGACTCCCTGTTCTCTTTACAAATAGGACTATTCATCCAATGGAAATGACCAAGCTGTGGTTGAGATCTGTATCACTCGCATCACAACAGCCATCAGGGAGACTGAGTCCATTGAGAAGCATGGCAAGGCCCTCGTGGCTCTCTGGGAATCCTGCTTGGAGCACAATCTCAGACCTTCAGGAAAAGACGAGGATACACCCCATGCAAAAATTGCTTCTGATATCATGAGTTGTATTTTGCAGGTGAGTTGCCTTCTCACTGTATAGTTCAATCAATCAATCAATATCAACCAATAAGCATGTATTAAGCACCTACTATGTGCCAGGCACTGTGCTAAACTCTAGGGATTGCAGTCCCTGCCCTCAGGGAGCTTATAGTAGTTCATTCTTCATGACTCTTGCTACTTAGAAAAATGCCCTTCTCTTGGTTCTTCACACACAGCTCTTCATCTTCCATCTGTTTGCCTTCGCTCTGGCTCTCTGTCATACCCACAATGCACCACTTTCCACAAAAAACCTTTCCGGATCCTCCCAACTCTCTGTGCCTTTCCTTCCTCCCTAGCTATCCTGTATCTACCCATTGTGTATATAGGGTGTCCTAAAAGCCTTAGGGCAATTTTGGTTTTCGTTTGTTTGTTTTGTTTTGTTTTGTTTTGAGCTTTCATAGCTTAAAATAATTTTGGCCACGTGAAAGGCACAGCTAAGTTGTAATAGCTTAAAACTATCCTAAGACTTTTGGGATATACTGCAGTATACATTAGATTTATTTTGTACGTACTTTGATGTTTGTATTTTGTCTTCTCTGATAGAAAAGAAGTTCCCTGAGTGTAGGGACTGTTTGATTTTTTGTTGTTGTTGTCTTTTAATCCCTAGTGCTTGGTACATAGTAAATGATTTTAAAATGCTTGTTGATTCAGGAAGATGTGCATTGGAATTTTCTTCAGCTTGCTTTTCAGAAGACTCAATTTTCACTGGCTTGGATGTTGTAAGAAGGCCCCTTCATGCCTCTGATAGTTAAGCGAGCCCTGACAGAAAATAGCTGTTAGTACTTTGCCTTGATACTTTCAAAGACTATAATTTCATTACTAAGAGTACTCTTTCAGTGGGTGAATGCAGGTCTCTGCCACTCTCACCTTACATGGGTATCAACTACATTTTACTATACATTCATCTCATCACATTTGAGTGTTGCCCAAGGATAACTCCCCTCCTTACCATAAGACCATATATTTCAAACTGGAATGGGCCTCTGGGGATGCCTTGTCCAGCTTGCTCATTTTATGGAGGAGGAAACTGAGATTCAAAACGTGTAAGTGACTTGCTCAAGGTCACACAGATGGCAGGCAGGATTTGAAGCTAGATCCTCTGACATAAAATCCAGTAGACTTCGATTATTTGAACATCTATCTCAGACACACAAAGCCAAATCAATGTACATGACTGACTAAGGAACAGAAAGTGGTTGAGTAGGGGAAAAATCCACTGGATTTATACTGAGTCCTTGAATTTCATTTGTGGTTATGTTATTTACTATTTGTGTGCATTTTCAGCTGAAAAATGGAGATGAGACTAGATGATCATCGAGATCCCTTCTAGCTGTGAATAGCTCCATCCTGTTTTGTACAGAGTTCCATGCTAGGCATTGTGGGGCAGAACAGAGAAGAGAAACACATGGTCCCTGCCCCACAGGAGCTTATAATCTAGTTGGGGTGGTGATGATGTGTGCCTGAAAATCTACCAATATAAGACAATGTGCTTTGATGTAATAGTACCAGGTGAGGGGCTAAACAATATACAAGTGTAAAGCTAATATGAATAGAAAGGCCAAGGAGAGTTTCAGGAAGAAGGTGAAATTTGAGCTGGATTTGGAAAGATCAGAAAGGATTTGGCTGGAAGGGAAGGATGATAGGAAGCCATTTTAACTACATGACAGGTATGATTGATTGTGATACTCCCCCATGTGGATGATACCTCTCTTCTCTCTTGCTTTCTTGGACTGCATGAAGATCACCCCAGCTCCAGTGTCAGCTGGTCAGGGTACATTCCTATCCAACTTTTTTTCTTTGTTGACCCACTTTTGCTAAATTCTTAGTGGAAAACCAACTTCTGGCTTCCTGATATGTTTACCTACCCAGTTCTTAAGTTCTTCCTGTGAACGTTTCAACAATGACTCACATACCTTCCAACACACCTGTTCCTCCTTCAAGAACTGACAGATAAACAAAGCCCAGCATTTCACTTTAGTGAAAAGAAGGCTGCCGCTTTTGATAAGATACCAGTGAGTGGATATCCAGTTTTTATTAATTAGCATTAATTTATAGAGGCAGCATGGCACAATGGTTGGAGAGCTAGCCTCAAAACATGGAAAACAGGTTCACATCCTACCTTTGACACATACTGGCTGTGTGGCCCTGGCCAAGTCACTTTAATTTCTCAGATAGCTCTCTAAGACCATAAGTTGCAAAAAAGATGCCATCTGCATTGGTGGAGGCAATGTCCTTATATGAGATTTCCCTGTAACAAGAAAGCCATATATCCAGTCCTTCTTCCCTTTTAATTCCTATGGGCAGTTCTGCTTGATTTTGACTCCATTAACATCATGCCCTGCCCTGATATCTGTGCTTTCCAGCTTCTGTGTAGTGTCTTTCCCTATTAGATTGTAAGCTCCTCGAGGTCAGAGACTTTCTATTTCTTATTTGTAACCTCAACACTTAGTATGGTGACTGCCACATAATAAACAATAAATGTTTATTGACTAAAAATAATAAGTACAGAGCCCCCCATTACGAACATTAGGAAAAGGCTTAAAATCAAGACAAATCACCAGGGCTCCCCAGATGAACTTTGGTGGCCACTGTCCTAATTGAGTCCTGCAAGAAGAGACTGAGGTTACCTAGTTGTCTAAATCCTAAGAGGAGGCAAGATGTATAGGTGCCAATTTGAAAACGTCAGTGGGATGATGGATGACCTACAAGGTAATTTGAGAATTGCCTAGAAAACCTCTTAGTTCAATCCAATTCCATTCAACAATCATTTATCCAGTGCCTATGTGCCAGGCACTATGCTAAGTGCTGAGGGTACAAAGACAAAAATGAAACAGTCTCCAACCTCAAAGAGCTAATATTCCATTCAGAATTATCTTACCCATTGGCCTTTCAGGGTACCTGAAATCTACCATTAGAACTTAATTCAGTCTGGCATCTTGCACCTAAGAATCACAGTTAGTAGTGTGTGGTGGCAAGATTCAGTAGGATTAGGTTTGATTCCCAACTCCACCAATTATTGTTTGACTCTACCCAAGTCACTTACTACTTCTCATTCTTACTTACCTCATCTATAAATTGGGGATAATAATACAATAAACTTCACAGAGTTGTCTAACAGCACTTTTACTTTGTCTCAATGTGAGCAAAAACTTTGAGTAGATCCATGATTTCATCAATGTGGACAAAACATTGGGGGAGGCTCATCCAAGCAGTTTCACAACTTTGCCGCAGAGAATTGACCCAATATGGTAGAAGTTTTCTTCTAGGTTTTTTACCATTCCATGGATGCCATTTCTTGTGGGCAGGCTATTAGCAATCATCCTAACCTTGGGAATTTGTTTTGTATGAATGACTGACCCAGCATAAGCAAAGGGGGTTGTAGAAAAAGAGGTTTAGAGAAATGTAGAGTTGTCACATATGAGGTGAGCATTCATGTTGATGGTTCTGCTTTGGCTCTGATTCAACTGAGTTGAGTTCCAAGACCTTCCTTTTTCCTCTATGGTGATAACACTTAGATGGTGAGAAATGGAGAACCCACCAGGTCTGAGAAGGTGGGAATCTGCCTTGGTGAGTGTTTTTCGAAGAGTCAAGGGGGAAACTAGAGACCACATCTCCAACATAAAGCCTTCCATTAATGCACAAAACAAAGAAATACTTCTTTTTGGTTTCCTACACAGAAGGGGCTACTATCCATCAGCATCCTCTAACACCAAGAGGCTTATAATCCTGCCTGCTCTATAGCCTAGGCACTTCCCCTTGCAATTCTATGTATTTACCCAGGTCAGCTCCTTCCCTTGAAATGCATATCAGTCTGGCCCTAGAACACACACCAAGGCAGCACTGGGCTGTCCATCTGCCATCCCTTGCTTGCTGCAATGAAGTAAGTCATCTGTATCGTGCTATCAAGATGTGTCCCCCTACTTTTCTGAGCACAACCATCCTTAATGGTGTCCTGCTTCTTGAACATGAGTTGTTCTTAATTGTGTGAGGCTCCCTGCTCCCTCCATTGCCTGTTGCGTCATACACCATTTTGATTCTTCTGAGATTTTGCTGTTTGGGGATTCCCAAGTATTCCGGTGATGGCCGAAATTCCCCAAATGCAATTTGGTCTACTCTCTTCCTCCTATTTAAGGAGCTACTGAGTAGGAGGCTCCTCCAGAAAATAAACTGTAATTATTCTCATATCAAAAGTTAAATACTCCTGGGAAAGAGAGGGTACATTAAGCTATTAGCCATTAACATCTAAGTTTGACCTGGGCCCCTAGGACTAGAACACAGGACAGGAAAATATTTATGTAAGAGAGGTGTGATAGGGAGATATAGCCCTGCTGAGGAAGAAAGGACCAATGATTTACTTCAGTGTGGGACTACAATTAGAAGAGGGACAGGGTAAGGACACTGGGTGCCTAGCAGAGAAAAAGGAAGACTCCTCTGAGAAGTGCATAAAGAGATCAAAGACAAATTTTGCTGACTTTGCAGACTGGTCTGGGGCTGGCCCAGAGTTTGTGGTCATTTTGAAGATGATACGTACAAAGGCCCTTTGTAGGGGTAACATTTATATTTAGTTCTCCCTAAATTCTGATGAAGTTTTGGGTTTTGTTTTTTCTTTTTGTCTTGCCCTAAATACCAAGAAAGTGACTCTCTCCCACTTCTAATTTAGGTTGTTGTGGGAAAGGAGGTTGGGAATACTAGAAGAAGACTCATCGAAATGATTCATTCCTTTCAATTTTTCAATCAAATAAACCCACTGGTCAATTTTCAAGAGTGAAACACTCAGCATTTTCAGCTTGTTTCAGCAGGAGTGAGGGAAAGGCAACAATTTTCTTCCATAAACCATTATCAAACACAAAATGCCTAAGCAGGAGAAAGGTCAGATTCTCCTTCTCACATCCTTGACTGTTCTTCCAGGTTTCTTTCCTTTCCATTTTGGGAAGAGGGCTAGCTGGGGCAACGTCTATGACAAAAGCAATTCATTTT